TGGGGGGTGGAGAGGCTCTCTCTTTAGCCAGCTGAAGACCAAATGGAGGGGTCTTCCACGGGCTTAAATAGACTTTCTTTTTGTGGGTGGAGACCCCCCCCTCCCCTCTCCTATGCAAAGTCCAACTCCAAGATGGATTTCTGGAGTCACCTGGGCAAGTCACATGTCCATGCATGACTGAGTACCTTACCAGCCAAGCCACATTCCTGAGAAAGCCCAGCTGTGTATTGGTGTCTCCAAGTTCACTGTTGGCTTAAGTGTTTCCGGATTGGGCACTTACTGAGAATCGTCTTTTCTCAGGCGCTGACCAACTGCTTCACTACAGCCTACTTAGAATCAAACAAGTATGCAGTCAATATTCATAACTTTGAATACAAAAATGATACATGCATACAAATAGGATGAATAGATTCAGTAGATCATAACCTTTACAGAGACATGTTACATGGCATATGTAGCATAGAACACATTCTAGTTATGTTATATAGATTCAGTCATATGCCTATTTCCATAAAGCCTTACAGTCGTGACTTGTGGCGAGCTTTAAACTAGGTCCTATGGGGGATAGTGACAAAAAGCTAATGCACATCCAGGCTCCAGTAATGAAGACAAAGGGAAATGGCCAATTTCTGGAGAAGGGACTAGAAGCCACAACTGCTTTAAAAAGGCAAAAAGAAAAGCAATAGGGCAGTCTGCAAAATATCCTCAATGCCTGTATACCAATGCAGCGTATGGGGAACAAGCAGGATGAACTGGAAGTCATGCTCGATGAAGAAAATTATGACTTAATTGGCATCACAAAGACTTGGAGGGACAGCTTCCATGATTGGAGTACCAGCACTGAGGGATACAGCTTGCTCTGAAAGGACAGGTATGGGGGAAAACGCAGCATTGTGCTGTATGTCAAGAATGGATATACTTGCCCCAAGGTCCAAGGGGAAGTGAGGGACCTACTGAGAGTCTCTGGGTAAGGATAACAAGGGAAAAGAACAGTAGCGATGTTATAGTGGAGGGTCTATTATAGACCACCAAATCAAGAAGAGGAAGTGGATGAGTCATTCTACAAGCAGGTAACAGGATTAGCTAACACACATGAGCTAGTATTAATGGGGGATTTAAACTTCCCTGATATCTGTTGGGAAACTATTGCAGCAAAACATAATACATCTTGTAAGTTCTTAGCGTGCGTAGAGGACACAACAGGGATGAATCAGTTGCAAACGCAAAGGTGGTCGGAAACTTGGGAGGAAATGATCATGATCTGATACAATTCAAGATCCTCCGGAAAGGAGGACACGAGAACAGCAAAAGAAGGACGCTGGACTTCACGAAGGCTGATTTCAACTGACTCACAGAAATAGTAGGCCAGGGCCCATGGAAAGACTAGTTAGGAAGAAAAAGAGTCAACGGGCAGTTCCTAAAAGATGTAATACTCGAGGCCCAACATCAAGCTATTAATGTGCAGAGGAAACATAAGAAGAGCCACAGGAGGCCAATGTGGCTGGACAAGGAGCTTTTTAGCGATCTAAAAACCAAAAGGGATCCATCCAGGAATGGGAGGAGGGGCACGTCCCCAAGGACATATACATAGGAATAGCAAGAGCGTGCAGGGACAAAATCAGGGAAGCCAAGGCAAAGAATGAGTTACAGCTGGCAAGAAATGTTAGAGACAACAGGAAGGGGTTCTACTAATATGTCAGACAAAAAAGAAAGATCAAGGACGGTGTGGGTCCGCTGCTCAGTGGAGAAGATGAGCTGGTAATGGAAGATGATAGGAAGGCAGAGCTCCTCACTGCCTACTTTGCTTCAGTCTTCTCCAAAAAAATAACCCGGGGCCAGACGCCTAGCGAAGTTCCCATAGACAGTAAAGGGGAAGGGAGGCAGATCGGGATCAGTAAAGAACACGTCAGAGATCTTCTGACCAATCTGAATGAATTTAAATCATCAGGGCTGGATACTATTCACCCCAGGGTATGAAGAAATTAGCGGAAGAAATCTCGGAGCCACTGGCAATAACATTTACAAACTCATGGATGACAGAAGAGGTCCCGGAAGCCTGGAAAAGGGCTAATATGGTGCCTATCTTTAAAAGGGTGAAAAAGGAAGAGTCAGGGAACCATAGACCAGTCAGCCTGACCTCAATACAGTACAGACCTGTTTACGCGTGACCCGTTTACGCACGAATCCGCTTAAAGTGCGGTAGCGCCATGCCTCCTAGTGCTACCTATTTAACACGCGAGACTCGTTAACACGCAGTACAGGAACTTGCTATGTAGAGCTACACATCTGCTCACTAACTCACTGACATAGAAATTGACAGGAAGTGCGGAGCGGAAACATGTTATATGTCTTTACCGATATTGGTAAAGATGTATCACGCACACTTAGTCATTGTCACGCTAGAGAGATATATAATATATAGTAGTTATATAGTAATATATATACTACATTAGAAAATTTTAACCGTAGGCCTAATATAATGGCAGAGGGCAAGCATCAGCATTCCTACACTGTAGAAGAAAAGCTAGCTGCAATAGATCGAGTAAATAGCGGAGAAACCCAGGCCAAAGTTTCAAAAGATATTGGGATTTCCGAATCTACTCTCCGAGGATGGCTAAAAAACTAATCTAAACTGACTGGCTTTGTACAAAATATCGATTCTGCCATGGGGTTTAAGTGAAAAAGTGTGCGCAATTCAGCGAAACCCACAATAGACAAAGCCATGCGCACGTGGTTTGCTCAGGAAAGGCTGAAAGGAATGCTGCTAAGTGGGCCAATTCTTCAAGCCCAAGTGACAAAATTTGGAAATTTAACGGGGGATGAATCATTCCAAGCCAGTAAGGGGTTTATAATTCGTTTTAAAAAGCATCCTGGCATAGCGCAGGTATTGATTTCTGGAGAAAGCCAATCAGCCGATGAATCGGCCGTGAACGTGTTTCCCACCAAGTTAAAATCTATTTTACAAAATGAAGACTACCACGAAGAACAACTTTATAATTGTGATGAAACAGCTTTATTTGCAAAACCCCTACCTGATAAAACTTTAGCCTTTAATTACGAGACACAGAAAACAGCTGGATTAAAAAGATAAAAGATCGTGTGACTCTTCTTTTTTCAGCATGGCCCTCTTAACCCGCGGTCCGTTAACACGCGGTCGTGACGGCTTGACTCCCGACATCCGCGCGTAAATGGGTCTGTACTGTACCTGGGAAGCTACTAGAGCAATGTATAAAACATTCACTTTACAAATACCTGGAGCATGACGGGGTGATCACTATCAGCCAGCATGGACTCACCAAGAACAAATTATGCCAAACCAGCTTGATTTCCTTCTTTGACAGGGTAACTGGTTTGGTGGATGGGGAATGCTGTGGACACAATATGCCTGGACTTCAGCAAGGCTTTTGGCACAATCCCACATGACATTTGGATAAGTAAGCTGGAGAAATGCAGGCTCAGCAGAACTACCATTAAATAGATACAAATCTGGTTAAACAACCGCAAACAAAGAGTAACTGTTAATGGAATGATGTTGGTTTGGAGGGAGGTCTGAAATGAGGTTCCACGGGTCTCTGTTCTGGGTCCGGTGTTGTTTAATATCTTTATTACTGACCTGGATGTAGGACTAGAGAGCACACTGATCAAATCTGCAGATGACACAAAGCTGGGAGGGGGTTGCCAACACTTTGGAGCTAAAATTCAGCGGCATCTTGATAAACTGGAGAACTGAGCTATAGACAACAAAATGAAATTCAACAAAGACAAATGTAAAGTGCTACTCTTAGGGAAGAAAAACCAAATGCACGGATACAGAATGAGAGATAACTGGCTTGGCAGCAGCACTGCTGAGAAGGATCTGGGAGTGGAGGTGGATCACAACCTCAACATGAGTCAGCAATATGATGCTGTTGCAAAAAAAGCAAATGCAGTTTTGGGTTGCATTAACAGAGGCACAGCGTGCAAGTCACGGGAGGTGATAGTACACTCTACTCGGCACTGGTTAGGCCTCAGCTGAGTACTGTTTTGGTCACTGCTGTATAGACAGGATGTAGAGAAACTGGAAAGGAACCAGAAGTGATGGAATGCAAGCCATCTGAGCAAATGCTGAAGGAACTGGGTACGTTTAGTTTGAAAAGAGGAGATTGAAGGGGAACATGATAGCAGTCTTCAAATACTTGAAAGACTGCCGTGAAAAAGTTGTTCTCTTTTGCCACAGAGGGCAGGGCAAGAGGCAATGGGTTCAAACTACAGCAGAGCAGATTTAGATTAAATCTCAGGAAAAACTTCTTAACTGTAAGAGCAGTAGGACAATGGAACAGATGCCTCGGGAGGTTGTGGAAGCTCCTTCACTGGAGGTTTCACAAGGAGGCTGGAGCCATCTGTCTTGGATGGTTTAGACACAACAAATCCTGCATCTTGGCAGGGGGTTAGACTAGATGACTCTTGCGGCCCATTCTAATCCTATGGTTCTATGGTTTTGAACACTTGGAGCTGGCAATACTGCATACAAGAGCTACGAGTGTCTCCATATTATAATGAACAGCAGTCAGCCAGGCATGGCAGCCCATAATACTTCTCCACTGCAGGGTGGGGGGAATAATTAAGTTATGTTAGCTCGATGCTTTGAAAATATAAGGTGCTATGTGAGTGCTAATTATTATTCTTATGCCAACAAGCAATACCCAGGATCGTTCCCCTACATAAAAGGCTCATCTCCGCTAGTGCCACTCCTGTGAAACAGGCACTATCGTGCAAATGCTACGATGATGTGCA